TGTTGGCTCTTTCATAAAAACACAGAGAAAGACACCACCACGCTACTGTGCCAGTGCCCTTCCCAAAGGCCCTACCTCCATGGGTTTTCGAGCGCTGGCTCTCCTAGGGGCCTGGGATGGACATCTCACAGTGCAGCTCTCCGCACGGACGTGTCGTGGGGCGGTGCAGAGGGGCAGCAACCCAGCTCCCTTGCCCGGTCATTCAACCTGCCCATTATGCAGTTAATTGCCTTCGTGGTGGTCGCTGCTGCTGCCGACAGGAGGCAAATGCCCTTCCTTGCTCAGTGTTCAGTTCTGAGGCTGTTACTCGCCTACGGGATCACTTGTGCTCTCCCCAGGTCTGCATTTTCATAGGTGAAGCACTGATTGTTCATTGCAGAATTTCTGGTTTCATTACTTTTCCCCAGGAAAGATTGTAAGATTTGCTATAGAGGAGATTTGTGGTGAAGTATGTCAGCAGTGAATTAAAAAAAAAAAACACATAATCAGTTCAGTTCCTTCACCTCCATTCCCCTGAAACATATGCTGGGTTGTTTTAAGACCTCAACATCAGTAGATCTTAAAATGCAAGGGAAAGACATAGAATAAGAAATCTGAAAGATTTTGTGAATTGCAATGTCAACAGGAGCAATGAAAATGGTAATAGGTAGGTTTGGTTGCAGAGGGCTGTTATCTTTCTGGAAGTGACTGTGTAGATAGCATTGAAGGTGGAGGGAAGGAAAAGGAAGATTTCTGATCATGAAATCCTGATGCTGTGCTAGCATTAAGATGAAGATACGTAAATGAAAATAGATATTCTAAATCATCAGTAGGTCTTCCACCCTGAAATATTCTTACTGACTGCTCCAAGTGCGTAAGCTATGCAGGATTTTATCCAGTACAAATATAACCGTACCTTACCATTGATTGCATTAGGTCTAAACCCTCCAAATGTTGTCACTGCAGCCTGGAGCGCGTAGCATGAGCGGTTGGTTTCAGTAATGTGGTTGTGCGTATGTTGAACTCAACTTTTATGTTCTGGGGAGATCCATGACTATCACAAGCCGAAAGTAAGTGGTCCAAATTCAACCACCAAAGTGGACCAAGCAGAAGAGTCCTGAGTTTCATGCAGGTCTGACACAGAGGACTTTTTTTTCACTCATTTTTGCCCAAGTGCCCACAAACTTTTCAGTGAACTGCAGTTGAGGTTTGAGTTTTTAGTGTAGCCTGACAGACAGCTTGGGGGAGGGAGGGACTGGGTTTGTGTTCTGCTGGTTTGTTCTAGTCTCCCTGTAATAAATAACTGACTGACTTCCTGTTGAAAACAGTAGGACACTGCATTTGCACGTGGAAATCAGTTAAGCTAGAAACGAAAATATACCACATAGAGGGTGAGCTAAACTCATCCTTTGCTATTAATCCTGTGGCAGGCTTTGGAATTACAAGAGGATGAATTTGACTGCAGATTTGTTTAATTTCTGTTGAAATAATAATTATTCGCCCCATCTCCTCAGTACCATTAGTAGGGCTTCCCAGTAAAGATTGAACACTTTCAGTCAAATGCAGACCAACAGATCTTTATATAACAAATGCGGTGCTTTTTTATTCTTATTCTTGCTGTACCTCAGTGTTTGTTCTTAAAAATAAAAAATGACTGCAGTATCCTAAATCTGGGTTTTCCAGTTATCACAAGGTCCAAAAGATTGGATTGTTACTTTCTCTCTAGTGAGTCATGTAGTTCCTTTGTTCTAGTAGAAAAACAAATGCCTGTAGATAGTAGATACTAGGTTGAGTAAATATTGTACCATTAGCCAAATTCCCTGCAGCTTCCAATTTATCTAACAGAAATGTCTGTTACGGTTTTTGTTAAAGACTACATAAAGTCAATGGCAGGAAAGGTCCTCATTATGGGACTGATTTTGCTTATATTGACAGAACAATGTCACATGATACTCAGGCTGTGCTTTCTATTCAATCATATCACTATAGAGGAATGTCAATAAAGTCACTTTGTTATGGCATTGTGTGGACTGTCTATTGCAAGTAATTTCTTTGGGACAGGATGTATTTTGCTAGCGTGGAGGGATGTTGGCACTAGTGGAAGTCCATTGAATTGAGGAAAGGGCAGGATCCTGTCCTTTCTCACCACTGCACTGAGGCTGCTCCGCTGCTTTGATTCCATCTCTTGGGGTTATGTGTTTAAAACTTGCAGTTCTCCACACAAATGTGCATGTGCTCTCCTGTGCTCTCCTGGAATATCCTGCGCTCAGGCCTCCCCTGAAAACATCTGAGCTTGCTCCTTGCCGCAGGATACGCACGGACAGACAGATGGAGATGAGACATCTATTCTACTCACGCCTGCTTCACTTCTAATTACTTAATTGCAGGTAAGAAACACAGGTGCAAGGACAATTTCTTAACAGCGTGCGCTGGGTCTGCATTAAGTTTTGACAGCAAGTAAGCAGCAGATGCTCTGGCC